ATGCTCGGCAGTAAACCCAGAAGTGGACCGGAAGTATTTCTGGTCCACTTCCAGGTTCTCTGCTGAGCACACTGGGGCCCCTCCACATCCCCCTGGCTCAGCGATCAGCCACAGGGGGACACCGGGTGCACCCCCCAGACCCAGGAGGCACCAGTTGCCAAGCCGGAGGGGTGCGGGGGGAGAGGAGGCCCAGTGCGCTCTGTGGTGGACCCATTAGTGGATCGGAAGTGCTTCTGCCGAGCACTCTGGGGAACCCTATGCGCTTCTGTGGGACACTCAATCCACCCCACCATCTCAGCGTTCATGAGCTGCCTGCTACCTAGAGGTATGTAGAAAAAACATTTAAGCTGTGTCTATGCCTGAATCACTGAATTTTTCTAAATCTCTCTGAATTGATTCAGAGGATTCTGATTTGAATCAATTCAGAGAGATTAAAGGGTCCTCTGATTTGATTCGGATTCAGAGATTCGGTCACTGAATCGAGCCGCAGGAGGGTCTTCCCAGGCTCAGAGTCTCCTCACGGGCAGCTCCTCTCTTGTCCTGCCCTGGCAGGGCTCGGAGAGGAAGGGAGAGAGAACACATTGTTTGTGCAGCCTCTTGCTGCTACTTCTGCAGGGCTCTGACAGGGGCTCTCAGAGGGGCGGCCCTGGGGAGATCCTTTCCCTGGTCTCCAGCCTGTGTCTCACCCCCTCTCTCTCCCCTTTGTTCTCCTCCCCGGGAAAAACTGCTTCCCTCTTTTAAACAAGCCTCTCAGCCTATCCCAGGCCAGGGCTCTTCCCAGGCTTTTGCTAAGGTCTCTCATTCAAACCCTGCTGAGGTTACATCACCCCTCCCACTTCCAAGAGGGCTACCTCCAAAGCAGCTTCACTGGCAGGGCAAACAGTGTCCCTGCTGGGACAAACTCTGTCTCTTCACACTCTGTCCCTCTGCAGGGCAGCCCTTCCTATTCCTTCAGGTGAGTCCATTTTTGATGCTGCTACACCTATAAAACCTCTGGAGTTGATCAACTTGAGGTACTTTTGGAGTGGCTGTATTTCCTGTAGCATCCACTGAAAATAGGCTGCACAATTTCTTTTTCATGCCCAGCCAGCTTCATGGTGCCGAGTAAGAACAAGGCTACAGCTCTGCCCCACCTGCTTTTGAGAGAGATGTGCTCCTGGTTAGCAAAAGAGCAACTGAAAATGTACATAGGCTCTGTTTGATATAGGCAAATGAGAGAGAGTAGCTCTAGGGTGTTGTCCCATCACCCATGTATGCTAGGTTTAAGGTCAACGTGATCCTAGGCATTGCCATTTACTCAGTCCAACAGCTTCTTCTTCTATGACACTTGTTTATCTATTAGATGGTAATCTTTTCAGGGCAAGGAGATTATTATTGGTTAAGTAGTAATATGTATCCTGGCATTGACTTGTGCATCAAAAAGGTATTGGCTGTACTCTTATGAGGTAGTATTATGTTCTCCATCCAGTCATGAAGCAGTTTACAACAGTTACCTTCATCAAGCACCTCCATCTTCTGTGCACCACAAATCAATGTTCTTCTGTGTTCTAAAGATCTGCTGGAACAATGTGTCAATCAATTTTAGTGCCAATGTTTCCTTGTTCCATGAATATCATAGACTGTCCCAACATAAAAAGGAATGGACATGGTTTAGTGCTAGGAGCTGAATAGGATGCACACCAAATTAACATTTTAAAGTTATTCTATGTGTGACTTTTCCTACAGACACACCTGTAACAGTAAACTGGGTTTCAGATTTTTTGTCCCTCATAATTTTGTTTGTTTGACATTACCAAAACAGAGTCATAAAACTGCAGATACAAAATGACATTTAAGATAAAATATTAAATAACTGCTTATTTGAACATTTTTCCAGTTTCCTCTGCACATCAGTTCAATAAACTTATACTTAAGTTTGAATGTAGTGTAGCTCCATTTTTGTCAATAGGGCTACTCATTTTCTTTCTATTTGGCACATGCTTAAGTATCTTGCTGGAAGAGGACTGGGTGTTTTTTAAGAGAAAAATGCTACTAAATATCCTTGTTGGGGCGAAAAAAGTTGATTTTTTACATAATTGCTAGATTTTGTTCTGAAAATCCATTTCATTTTTCCAAACAAAGGAAAGGAAATGCACATGAGGGAGGGAAAAAGAAAAGCAACAACTAGGAAAAAGCAACTGCTGTTTTGAACATTAGCAGTTTGGGTGACAGAAGACCTAAAATGCACATAGTAGCACCTTGTGCAACCTATTTACTCACCCTAGAACCTGGCAAACTATGCCAAAAATTGCCTGCCAGAGCATTCTTTTTAATTTCCTAATTTGGTCACGGCAAAGTGATGCAAAAATCGACTTCTCAGTTAGGGACAGAAGTTACATATAAACCAGCGTACATGATCAGGAACCGGTTCAAACCTGTAACAGAACAGAAGTTCAGTGCACTTAAACTGCTTTCAAAATGGCTGAAACTGATTTAAGATAAACCTGTATAGATGTAGTATCAAACTTAACTGATTTAGGTCAAACCAGTGTGTGGAACTTCTGTCTCAGATCCCCTCCCAATTCACGTTAACTCACAGTCCTCCACCATCTCAGGATGCTGTGCAGCCCTGGGCTGTGCTCTTGGCTCCAGCAGAGCAGGGCTGGCCCCATCCCAAGCTGTCAGTGGGGACTTTTCCATTCCCTGCAGCCAGCTCCCAGGGCAGGGGGAGTAAAGCCCCCACTTCGGGCTTCCCCCCACCCTGCCACCACTAGGTACAGCCCAGCAGAGGTCCAGAGCTGGGTTGGAGAGGCCATTTCTGCACCTCCCCCCCGCCCCCTTCTAGCACTGCCCAGATAGCACTGCCCAGATACTGGTATGGGCCATTGCAGGGGTCTGGCTGCTGTTCTAGTTTGAAAAGTGAACATCAGTTCACTTCCTTATCAGTTCAATCTAGGCATTTTAATGAAACCTGCAAAGATTGAATCGATTCAGCCTCAGGCTTTTTGATTGTCTGTAGTTGGCCCTCCTAGTTAATATGGCTGATTCCTATTCAAGAAGACAACAAAAAGGGATAAAAGAGACAAGAAGAATAGTCTGAGGGAAGAAACAGACATGCTGTAGAAGGAACAGCAGTAGGAGTTTTAGGTTCACATTTTACGAGCTGCCTAGAGCAGTGATTCTTGACCAGGGTGCCACAGCATTCTGGAGTTCTTTGAGATCCATTCAAGGGTGCCACACAATATTAGTACTGTTAGGACACCAACATAATTCACAAGATGAACCAGAGATTTCAAATAGAAATCCATAATTGTGGTCTTTCTGAGTTCTTTGCAACAGAAAAAAGTGCTCCATTATTTTTCTATAGGCAAACAATAGTGAAAACTAAGAGCTGGCATTTTCCAGAGAATGCCTCAAGCCTATGCAGCAGGGCTTCAAGTCTAAAAAGGTTGAGAACCACTGACCTAGAGGATAGCCTGGATTCATTCTTCTTATTTGTTCTGGTGAGAACATCTTTGAAAGGACTGACCAGTGAAAACAGGTCTCCTGGCCCATAAATGTAAATTTTCTTTCACCATAAAAGCTTTTGGATCTATTACTATAATAGTTTTGCAAACTGAACAGAAAGTGTGAAAACCCTTAATCAGCAGTTTTTGTATTTTTTTAAGTTCAGAGGTTTGGTCATATCATTCTTTGGCTTCTTTTTTGTCAATAAAAAAACTTCACACAGGAAGTATTTTACATATAGAATATTTATCTCTATATATATTTTCAAATTATTAACATTTAAATGATTTTCTGCCACCCCTCACCCACTCTGGATAATTCAGGACTTTAACCTTGATGCACATATGAAACCCAAGCTGTTTATCTGAGAAGAATAGGTAGGAGAGGAACCAAATTAGATTGGCACAGTCCATAGGCAGGACCAAAGGGAGCTTCAGGCCTTCCAGAATGGATGATAATAAGCTGGTTTCCATTTGCATTCATTTACTCAGTGTTGAAATTTGGGCTTCCCAATAGCATCTTGTCATCTGTAACAGTGCATTTAATTATGGTGCCCATGGGTGTCTTTACATATGATCCAACAGCCACGCTAATTAAAGTACCCACAACATCACGTGTATTCAGTGTCCCTCACTTCAAAATGGTGTCAGGGGCACTTTAGCTAAAGTTGTTTGACAAGTTTTAGTTAAAGCACCCCTGCTGCCATTTTGAAGCATGGGGATGCTAAATACATGTGACGCAAAGGCTACTGGAGACACTCCAGCAGACTTGATTAATCGAGTCTGTTCCGTGTGCTAATTAGCACGCATTGAAGCAGGCATCCAGTACATCTGTAGGAGCCCCATGACTCTAAGAAAGGGGTTTAAGTAGCTAGTAACACAAAGGACGATCAAGTTGAAGTATACGATAGAGGTCCATTTTTCTTTATTTTACATATTTAATTTACAAAATGAGTATCATGCATCATCTTATCCACAATGTAAGATGTTCATAATTTGGCACATTAATTGCACACTGAGAATCTGAGTAAAGTGTACTAGATGTTGTACCTGCATTTTCCTGTAATGCAACATCTTTTAGGAGTTTTCAATGAAAAATTATTTTGCATATTTTTATCTCCTCAAGATGATTTTGTGAGGTCAAAAGATTTATTGTCTCTCAGTGATGTGCAGATTAAATTTCGTCAATTTAAAAGTATTGTAATTTTCCCCTGATTGCCAGTTCTTCATAAGTCTTTCTGGCTCTCACACAACCAACATTTTGCAATTTTAACTGAGTTAACAATTCTGTTTATGGTATGTTACCTGAAATAGAATACAAGAGATTATTCCAGAGCTGCTTTAACTCTGCAAGACTGCCAAGAGTAAAAAGTAATAAAAAATATTTTACCTAGTAAAGTTGCATGTCTGAACCTGAATAGACACAGAAGCAACTTTATTTAAAAAGAAGGGGCCATATTTGCAGCTAATTTTCAGCATGCAAGGGCACTTAAAACACTGTATTCTGCTTTTCAGAGGCCTATATAACTCTGTGCTGTTGATGAGGCGTGGTCCTATTTGTCCTTTCTGTTGACAAAATGCAAGACGACAGTTTAGAATCTTCTACTTCAATATCTCAACTTCTGAGAGAGAGTTATTTAGCTGACACTAAACATCAAGGGAACAGTGAAAGAAGTAGATCAGAACCATCTCCACACACTTTCCATTATGGCAATACTTCTGGGAATTCAGATGAGGTAACTGCCCAAGATGACCTTCCAGACCTCTCTGCCTTTCTGAGCCAAGAAGAGTTAGATGAAAGTGTAAATCTGGCAAGACAAGCGATTGATCAGAATCCACCTGAAAGTAAGCAGGATGAACAACTGACATATTATCCCTCTGATCAGCTGAAAAACTCTGTGAGAAAAGTTTCAAATAAACAAGTGGCCCAGTCTACAGCTTTGCCAACTTCAGACAATGCTCTGCACTCAAACTTCTGTCATGATCATGTCAGTGGTTCCAAGAAGAGCTCTCAGGATCTAAAGAAACAACAGCTTCCTTCTGAAGCCGAATCAAAGAAAGAATTCCTAAATAAGGCAGCAGATTTTATTGAAGAGCTTTCCTCACTTTTCAAAGCACATAATTCAGAAAGAATAAGACCTAGAACATGCAAAAACTACAGGAGCAAACTTGATTCTAAAAACAAGGATGCTCAAAAAGGTAGCTCTAGTTTCCCAACTCTATCAGAAAACAGAGAGAGACTTTCTATTCCAACACCTGAAGACACTGATAATAACTCAGAGCATGCACTTGAACAAACAGATGATCAACAAGAGGCAAACTCTGAAGCTATGAATCAATTGGCAAGCACAGAGTCAGCACCTACATCCTTCTATTCTGATGAGCCTATTGGACAACCACCACGCTTTACTCAGAAACTGAAGAGCAGGGAAGTTCCTGAAGGAACCAAAGTGCAATTGGACTGCATTGTAGTAGGAATTCCAGCACCTGAAGTCAGGTAAACATATTCGACTCTTGCCGTTTTGCATTATGATAATGGTAGGTATATGCTCTACCCTGCTAAAATATATTTTATAGTAATTTGTAGAAGCAATTCTTGGTTTTTGGTTATTACCATTGACTAGAAATAAATCCAGCTGCCTTCTTTAAACTATCCAGAAAGTTATTGCCATTTTAATTTAAGACATTTAAGGACAATTTTTCCTTTAAATTTTAGAGCACAGTTGTTAAAGAGGCAAGTCTTCTGCAATTAAATCGCTGAGAAAGGTATTTTCAGCTTGTTCACTATGAAGATTTGCTCAGTTTCCATAAAAGAAATAATCTATGTTAATGATGATGAGTAAGAAGTAAGAAAACATTTAAATTGAAAATGTACAGGATTGCATAAGCAAGAGACTTTTTAAAATTACAAAATACATATATCGATAAGAGATTAAAAATCCCCGCAGAGCCAGAAACACCTCAATACCAATCCAGATTCTGGCAATGATTCCTCACACTTAACCTTAGTTTCTCCATCTATAAATGTTTCAGTTAGTCACTGTTTCCACCTGCAGCTGGGGAGATATTGATGACTAAATAGGAAGTGATTGTAAAGATTTTTGGAAATTAAATATAGGTTGGGTGGGAAACGGATTATTAAAATTGTCACTTTTATCCTGGAATTCTCAGTCTTCACTGGTATTTCTAAACCTAAAACTGTTAAAATATAGATCATAGGGCATTTTTTTCTTTCAGTTATGTTGGTGTAACCATATAGACTTTGATGAGGTTGTGTCAGTGTAAATACAAGGAGAATTTGATTTGTCTTCTAAGGAAATGCTATTTACTTTATTTTCTTATTAATAATTTTAGTATTTTAAAAACGTAGGTTAGTTGCCTACAGTTTTCTTAGATAAATCTTAGTTGCCTTCTAAAATATATTGAAGGGCCTTTCTTGTGCCTTCAGAGTTCTCATTCAACACTAGGTTTATAGCTTCCCTAGTAAGTGTCATCTTCATCAAATGAAAGGCATTCAGAGATTTCTGGGGTAAAGAATTTGTCTTCTGTGCTCTCAGTCTCACTCCCCAGTGGTTGCTATCTCTTTATAATATAATAAAAGCCTTTGTCTATCTGTCTACGCGTCCATAATGCTCTGGGCCAACTGCACATGCGCCGCTTAGAGAGCGTGCGCTGATTGGCTGCAAGGGTTACAGACAGACGGAGTGAGGGAACCACCACTCTGCCCCCTCCCAACAGCTGGCAGGGAGGGGGGGCACAGTGAAAAAGAGGGGAAGAAGGGAAGTGGGGAGGGCAAGGGGCGTTTCCAGTGGCAGTGCACCCCCACTGCCGCTGCACCCTGCCACTGCTGCCCAGCCCCAACAACAGCCAGCAGAGAGGGGGAGGTGGCAGGGAGAGAGGGAGGGAGGAGAGGGGGGAGGGTGTCTTAGCCACCTGTGGAGGGTTCGGCATTGAGAGAGTGGTGGGGAGTAGAAAGGTAAGAAAAGTTTATTGACTTAACAAAAACACGACTACGTGTAGTAACAAAACAAGGACAGACAATAATAATTCGTGTTGGCAACTTATTGGCAGTCCCCTCTGATGCCTGATATATGACAAGTTCCTCTTCTGCAAAGCTTCGCAAAGTTAGGCATCCCCGATCAGCGCTGTCCGAGGGGTACTGGGAAGGACCCTGGTATTCAGTCCTTGGGCTCCTTGAGATCCACGGTCCCACTGATCCAGGTCAGCAGCTAATTAGTAGTTTCTTTTACAGAGCTGCATCTTCCTTTTAAATGATTTCTGGATGTGCCAGCTAATTTATAACTTCTGAGCTATGCTGATAACTTATAGCTATTTAGAGTTTTTTATTATAATTATTTTTAGGACTGACTAATAGCAGTACAAGCCTTGCATTTTTTTGATAAGGTTAATTTTAATTACACTACAAAGCTTACCACTACTTTTATAAGGCCTCATTACTACATACGAGGCTTTATTACATCTTTGACTTTAATTAGGCTTTTAATAACAACATATAGCTTAATATCTGAATAAATGACAGAAAAACACTTGGCCTGATTTTTACAGTGTTTAGCAAGCATCTTTGACACAATTTTTAGCTGTTACACAGGGGAGGCAGGGAGGGGGAATATGTTGCGTGCTGCCAGGTGTTGGAGGCTGCTGCTACATGCAACCCCCCCCCCCCCCCCCCCATTCCTGGGAGCTGCCAGTGGCACAGAGTGGAGTGGCATGGGATGAGGGGGCGCATGGGGCCAAACCTGGAGCGACAGGGGGTGGGGGAGGCCACAGGGCCAGAGGTGGGGGGCCAGAGGCAGACCAGCAGCACCACAGGACACTGGGTGGCAGTGCTCCATCCCCACCCCTGCCCCCCGTCATTCATGACTGCAATTTGCTAGTATTATTAATAAAGCCCATGTGATAGTATCAGTATCTGCTAAAAGTTATCACAAACTATGGCTTTGAAAGGTGCTCTCTAATAGTTGGATGCATGTGCTTTAAAAAAGCATCATCACTACCATTTGCCATGAACTACAGCAAATTAATTGTACAGACAATACATGAATCCATGCCCTTTTAGAGACTCTTCTTTAGACATCTATCCAAAGTTTTATGAAGCTATGTAGCAAAGGTTAGTTCATGCTGTCAAGGTGACTGATCCTAGGACAGGGGTGGGCAAAATGCAGCCCACAGGCCAGATGTGGCCTACCAGTCCATTCTATCCAGCCTGCGAGGCCCCTAAAAAATTTAGAAAATTAATATTTATCTGCCCCTGGCTGCCTGTCATGCGACCCTTGATGTCTTGCCAAAACTCTGTAAACAGCCCTCCACTCAAAATAATCGTCCACCTCTGTCCTAGGACATGCATCCAATTATCTGAGAGCACCTTTCAAAGCCATAGTTTGTGATAACTTTTAGCACATAGTGGTACTGTCACGTGGGCTTTATTAATAATATATATTTTGCAATTAACCTTGTTATTACTATGTCTAGACAAGTACTTACATTTCTCAACAAGAAATTTAGATTCAGAATTTTATCATGTTCAGTGTTTCCAGTCCAGTGAATTTCGTTACTGTAGAAAGATCATTGCAAAGTGCTTTCATCATTGATGCATCATTCTAGGGAAAAACTACTACCCAATTATCATGGGGTAGCAAGAAAGCAAAGTGGGAGTTTGTCTGACTTTTTTTATTCAGATGCTTGGTAGAAGTTGCAACAGTTTGAGATAAAACGATCTGAATATCCTGTTATAGGCTGAAGTCTTGAACTGAGATCTTAACTGAATTTCTCTTTCCTAGGGATGCCTAAGAGACTTAAGGGTGGGCATTGGAAGTTTCCCTAGGAGTTTGATCAGTCATACACACCACTACTTTTAACTGTAAGGACCAATCAATACAGGGCAGAAAGCCATCTACTATGGGCTACTCCAGCTGATTATTTTTCAATGTATTTGTCAACTTTTCCTGAATAATGAAGATGAATAACTTTCAGAGGTTTTTCACAGATGGTTCACTTTGTCTATTCACTACTATTTTCACTGGGTGATGGCTTAGCTAATCATAGCAGAAGCTATGTTATATAAATGCTGGTATAATTAGCTTATTAAAATATTCTTAAGATGAACAGAAGATAATATAATTCCCATATGAATTTTCAGACAAATGTTTTTGCTAAAATGTGTTAAACTTCTGGAATTCAAAAATATTTTCATGTCTGCTTTGGAGTTAAATGCACAGAACTTCAACTGTGCACCTGAGTATTGAGTCTAGTCCCTTGTGATCCACATTTGTCCACAAGATCCTCCAAAACCATCTATGGCACCATCAATGGCTTAGGCCCAGAACAATGTCAGAAAATTAGTTCAGTTATCTTAACATATATGAATGAAATTACTCTATCAAACACAGCAAACTGTAGTTGGTACTTTGGCCAAAGTGTTCATTATGTTTAAGAAAACTATCCATCTAGTGGCAACCCTTAAAACATGTTAGTGCAGTAACATAGCATTCAGCTAGCACAAAGACAACTTTAGCCCTTTTTTTGGCCTTAAAATTGTATTTAAAAAAATAGGGAGTGTTGATGCCACTTAAATTTGTTTCTAGTTTTTTCCTCCAAAGCCAAACACCAGACCCTTTTATTTAGCTCAGCTTTTGTGCTTCCAGGACCAACTGTGGCTCCCACAAAAATTATTCTTCTAAATCTGCACTTGTACATCCATAGAGTGTATATAAACGTGCTCCGGGTGGGTGGGTCATTTTAATTAGAGTGGCTCCCAGAGAACCTCTCTAATTAAAATGCTGCAGCATCACATGTGTTCAGTGTTCCACATTTCAAAATGCCTGTGGGGGCGCTTTAACTGAAGCTCATTCTATGAGTTTTAGTTAAAACACTCCCACCACTGTCTTGAAATATGGGATGCTGAATATGCACGACCCCACAGCATGCTGGAGCATTCTAATTAGAACACTCCAGCAGACTCAATTAATCGAGTTTGTTCCAAGGTGTTTCAAGATGGTGGCAGGGGTGCTTTAACTAAAACTCATCAAACTAGCTTTAGGTTAAAGTGCCACCACCACCATTTTGAAACACAGAACACTGAATACATGTAATGCTTCAGCATTTTAATTAGATCAGCTCCCTGGGAGATACTCTAATTAAAATACACCCACCCACACCAGATCACATGTATAGACACCCTATGGATGTACAAGTACAGATTTAGAAAAATATTTTTTGTGGGAGTTACAATTACAATGCATCAGAGCATGTGTATAGGCACCCATAATCTTTATCCACTTCTTGTGACTGCTGAATGATGGCAGAAACACACAAGGGCACATGAATAGAATATCTTATCCAGAAGCTAGCTCCAGTATTTCTGAATCTCATATATAACTGAATCTATGTAGACGTGTGGGTGAATAAACAGCATCTTTATCAGGTGAGCCAAAACTCAAATTTTGTCCAGAGGTGGCAGGTGTTTTTAAGGGGGTTATA